TGTAGCTGTTAGCATGTGTAGCTGTTAGCATCTGTAGCTGTTAGCATGTGTAGCTGTTAGCATGTGTAGCTGTTAGCATGTGTAGCTGTTAGCATGTGTAGCTGTTAGCAGCCACGTGTCGTCGCGTGCTTGGATAATCTAGTCTCGTGACTGTGTCTCTATTTTTCTGTGTAGGAGCAGGAGCTTCACGTCAGACCTCCACCAACCACATGTTTGTTCTCTAACAGGTATGGTTGTAATTTCTAGTAAAGTTGTTCAATATTAAACTTCGGTCCAGCAGCCTCCACTTCAAAAAGTCAGTGCTCACGCGGTTTGGTTGTGCACGCGCTAACACCACCAGGTAGTCACGCTTGCGAGGTTCTTTCAAAATAAAAGCTGATGTGTGTCTCCTGTTGGTACAAACTCTGGACATAAAACACGTGTTAGCACTGGAAGCTGTAACGGGACCAACATTCCTGCTCAGCTGTTTCCACAAAAAGTTTCAATCTCGCCCCCATATCCAAAGAGTAGAGAACTTTTTGTGTTGTAAGTTAAATAAATAAAAAACTCCAGTGAGTTTTTCATGTTTTGACTCGAGTTGATTGAAGTCCTTCTTGCTGGTCCATGTTCAGAAATGATTTTTAATGTCCGCCTGTGAATATGATCCATAATATTTGACTTTAGTCTCTGTTTTGTGGTTATTTGTATGTTCATGATGTGAGAATGTTCAATTGTTTTCCCTGAAGTTTCCATTAATATTAAAACAAAACTCTTAGTTTCCAGTGACCAGTCTCACTTCAGGCTGACTGTAGAACATCTCCAGATGTTGCTCACCAGATGTCACCAAGATCTCATGTGGAATTCAAAATAAAGGCCCTCCAAAGTTGGACATTTTCCACAGAATTGTCCCTAAGTTTCTGTGTTTGTTGCTCGTTCTTCAGGATGTTGTAGAAACAGCGAGGGTAAGTACGGCTTTACCAGAAATCACATCATTAGTGCAGAAAATTTATTGTCTCGTTGAAATGCAACATAGTTCAAGTAAAAACAGGAATGTTTCATTTAAAATCATTTATATGTTTAATATTTTAAGTGACAATAACCATTTGGAAAAATAAAGTTCAAATTGTACATTAATGTCAGAAATGACATTTATATCATTTTAACATCAAGTGTTTGTTTTTCCTGGTAAATGTTGAGAATTACAAGAGCTTTGTGTTATTTGTCCATGTCGACCAAAATCACTGGAGGTTTCTGGTTAGTGTGCATAAAAATGATACTTGTTGTTCTCTCAGAACATTTTAATTTAAAGTTTCATGTTTTGATTTGTGCAGAAACTCTGTGAACCACACAGTCTTTCTGGTGGATCAAGTTCAGCAGAAGACGATTCAAAAGCTGCAAAAACATTTAGGTAAGTATTTATTAAGAGACAGAGGAGAAAAGTCTAACACTGAATTATATCTGGTGAGCTGCTTTTAAAATGATTTTAGTTGCTGTTATGGCCATGAAGGACAGAGTGCACATTTTATTCAAGTTTGATTCAGGAACATCATAAATTACACATGAATGTTTTTCACTGAAACTAAATGAATCTTCAAACTTGTTCCTGATCATTTTGAAAGAGATTTAGTAACAACTTGAGTTGGACACATCATGCCAGTGTAAGGACGACACGTGTTCCTTGTGTTGTGGCTCCTACAAAGTTTCTGAACACTTGAAGTCGTCCTGCTACATTTATTAAACATCAAATGTCTCTACAGCTTTCTGTTCTTTGATCAAATAGATTTTCTGAATCATTAAACTTCATTTCCTTCAAACTACTAATTGGTTTAGATTTGTTCAAAAACCCACATTTCTCTAAGTCAATTGATCAAAACGTGCACGTTATTAAAATGCAGTCAGTTCTCACACTCACTGTTAAAGTCTAATAGAAAATAAATCAGTCAGAGTTCATTTAAATGTTGCTCATTAATTGTTCTTTTAATTGTAATTAGAATATTTAGCTGATGTTCAAATCAGTTCCTACAACTTGTGTTTCTTGAACAATTAGTTTCAAATATTTACTGATTCTATTAAAAGCTGCAACAGAGTTGAGCTGAACTGAAGGAGAGCGCGTCAGAAAAATGTGATTGTGTGACGTTAAATAGAACGGAGGCGTCGTGCTCCAGCCGCTCCAAAAGGATGGAAATATCTGCTGGGACATTGTTGTGGTAGTTGTTCACTGGAAAGTTGGTGAAACTTCATGTGTGGAGCTTTTGTTACTTGTTTATTGTTTGTACCTTTTCTTATGGTTTCTATATTTTTTAGATTGCCAGAGAAGTGATGAAGACTTTCCTGATATTCCAGCATCAGGTTTGAAAGATCCAAACTGGAAATCATAAAGTAAAGAGGAATGGGTCAACAGATACCGACTGCATCAGGTTTGGTCCTGAAGGTTTGATTTCAACATTCTAATAGACTTATGCATTATTGTCCAACAAGGAAGTGACTAAAAATAGTTCACTCTGAAGATAATAATATTTTAAAGTACAAAGGTTGTTAAGAAGGTGAAGAGGAGACGAATAATATCTGATTAGTTGAGCTGAGAAATGAAAAGGCTGAATGTGATTCAAATAAGTGATAAAGTTCACAATCACATTTGACTCTTCAAGAGAATTGTGTGTAAATAAATCAAACAATGATGTGTTTGAAGCTTTAAGGTCAAAATGCAGGTAAATCCAGTCAGAAATGTTCTTTGTATAAAACTAAACACTAGAACTCGACCTGACTGGATAAATGTGGATCCAGCAACACAATTCCCTCAAAAACTACGTTTCTACTGCAGCTTTGCAAAGTATTACTGCGTGAATGTAAAATATGTCGTATTTAATTGTAATATGTTTCTTCTGAGTGTTTTGTCTGGCTCCATGTTACTTCATTAGTTGGGTCCATGTTTGGTTTGTGATGGAACAGAACTCCACAATCAAATCAAACCATCCAGTGGCTCTATTGTTGTGACGATGCATCCCATGATGTCCACTTGTGTTCAAGTGTCAGCTCAGTTTGTGTACAAGTACTAGATTGTATGATGTGTTGAGTGTTGTATCACAGTTTCATGGTGGCTGGCTCTGCCTTCAGCAGGAGCAGTTCTGTTCGCACTTTCATGTTTTACCAGAGCTCTTTGTAATTATATTTTTATAAAGTATGCTATATTTTAAAACTACACACATATTTTACATCCAACATGTAGATTTTTATTCAATAACAATAAAATGAAGTCAGCTCTTCTTAAAGAAGGATGTGACAGTGTGAGGTTTGAAATGTTATTTTTCTTATTAAATGTAACAATAGACATCATTATGATGATGTCACTTTTAAATGTGACTTGAATTGTGTTTGATTTGTGCAACAACTGTTCCATGTGATCTCTGCAAACCCACCTGGAGCACGGCCTCCAGGGAGACTAAATAATCAAAGAACAAAACTATAATGATCCAAAGAGGAATGACTTGTGATCTGAAACATAAAGATCCATGAAATCATGATGAAAACACACTGATCGTGACATCATCACAGAGAAATCACCTTCAGTGCTCTTTATGAAATGGAAGAAGTTACAGGAAGCAGCTTTATGTCGTCCACATGACGTTTATCATTTGAAATGATGGAGTCATTTTTACATTCACATATTAATAACAGCTTTATGGTGAGAGTTACTGATCTAAACAATTGTAAAATAGTGTAAATTCATTAAAGTATGAAGGAGATGAAGGTGTAACATTCCTTGAACTCATCAGAACATCTGGTCATAGTGGATGTAGTTTGAGCGTTTGAGTCAAACTGTACAGATGACCTTATGAACAATCTCAGGTTATTGTGGGAGATCATTTGTGATCTGTTACCTCTTGAAATATGTTTTGAGGATGACTCTCAGCTACTGCCACATCAGCTGCAGTTCAGTATCTGACACACTCAGTACTTGTGATTTGTGGTTCAATTAGCTGTGGTGGCCATCTTGAATAGGTCGACTCCTAAAGATAGATTTACTTACAAATATTACTTTTAGAGACTTTGACTCAAATCAATCACTAATTTCATAACATCATTTGAGAATGTAAAGGATAAATAAAGAATCATTTTAACTCGGATCAATGAGATTTCTAACTTATTGAGCAGATCTGGTGAGACACGTGAGAAATCATCAAGGTCAAACCAGTCTCTCATCTCCACTAGTGATGGTCAACAAATTGAACTTGTATCTTCATTCAAATATCTGGGATTTTTAATTGATGACAAATTGTCTTTTAAAGCTCATATTCAGTTTACTGTAAATAAACTGAAGCTTTTACTTGGATTTTATTGTCAGAATAAATCCTGCTTTTCTTTTAGGGTAAAACAGAAATTGGTGGAGTCAACTTTTCTTCTGATTATTGACTATGGTGATGTATTATACATGAACGCCTCTGCTCAATGTCGTCACATGCTGGATAGCGTGTATCATGGCACTTTGTGGTTTATTACAAATTATGGAGCCCTAACTCATCACTGTCTCTTGTAGGAAAAGGTAAAATGGCCGTCTCTGCATGTACGTCGGCTTGACCATTGGTATGTTTTGATTTACAAGACTGTTCTTAAGTTGACTGCACCTTATCTTTCATCTTTGTTAACTTTAAACAACACGACCTACAGCCTCCGGTCTCAAGACTTTTTAAATTTTAGTTTATTTTAATCCTCGTGTCAGAACAGAAAGGGCCAAGAAAGCCTTTAGCTTTTCTGCTCCAACCTCATGAAATAGTTTACAATCAAAGCTTAAACTTGGAACATTAGTATCTCTGAATGTATTTAATACCATGATAGATCCTTTTTACTGAAGTTGCAGAAGTTTAATTGTTTTAATTGAGTTGTTTGTTATTTAAGTCTATGTTTATTCTGACTATGTGTTGTAACTGTGTTTTTTACTGACTGTTTTTTTTCCTCTCTCTGTCAGTCTTGACCAGGTCTCTCTTGTAAAAGAGCTCTTTTGATCTCAATGGAACAAACCTGGTTAAATCAAGGTTATGATGATGATGAAATGGTTCCACGAGCAGCTCTGAGGCTTGAATGAAGAACTCCTGGAACATGCCGGGTCCTGTTTGTGAATGAGAACTGGTTCTCAAACATTTCACCTGGTAAAATCAGATCAAATCAAATGTCAGAGAGAACAACTAAGTCCATGCTCAATAATCCAGGTTTACAATCCAACATTTTTCAGTCAGGTCATCTGGACAGTTTCAAGAAACTCCTCCCTCACTGAATAGAAACACAGCCCCTCACGTGCTGCTTTACACAAACTTACTAACGTCGTGAAGGCAGCACAGCTGAAGAGGATTATTATTTAATATATGTAAATAGTTTATTTCTTAGACATTTATTTTGTACAGTTACAGCTGTTTGTTAATAAATGTGCCTGTGTGACAACTGGGACAAAGCTTTGACTCTGAAATATATTTTTGTTATTAATTTATGGAAAGAAAAAACATATTGAGATATATATCATATATCACTATTTATCTTAAAATATTGAGATTATTTTAAGAAAATATTTTGGTCCATATCGCCCAGCCCTTGAACAAACAAATGACCACACAAAACTGTGACAAAAACAAAAATATTATGGATCCATATTCACAAGCGGACATTAAAAAATTATGTTGTAGTTTGGCAGCAAATATGACATCATTCACAGCTTTTATTTTGAAAACACTTGCATTCATTACTACTGTAATTCATAGTGTTTGCTTGCACAACAGAACCATCATTTTGGAAGTGGAGGCTGCGTGACGGCAGTTTTTTACTGCCTGATGTTCTCAGAGTTGGGGCAGGAGCTACATGTCAGACCACCACCAACCACACGTTGTTTTCTGTTACAGATGAAGTTCATGTTAATAAATGGAGTGAAGCTGAGAAGAGTTCCTGGGTGAGTGATCCATCAGTTCGCTGGTATCAAACCAAACGTCAGGGTTACATAGGTATGTATTTATGTTCGTATTTAGGTATGTATTTATTTACTGCAGTTTAGTCCCTGTTTACACGGACACGATGGGGGGAAACATAGGTTTTTTCATATGTTACTTGGAGGAAAAGATCTGTGTTGACACACAAATTTTGTGTTTACATGCAACCTGAGGAATCTCCCCCCGCCCTCCTGAATCCTCTGTAGTTACCTGTACCTGAATCCTCTGTAGTTACCTGTAGTTACCTGTAGTTACCTGCAGTTACCTGTAGTTACCATGCCGGGTCATTAGTTGGCGCTGTGAATTTTGTACATTCACCTAATGTGCATGCTTGCTGCCTTGGCCCGCTCCTTTCCTCTGGGCTAAAAGCTCAGCTAACAACATCTGAAGTTAAAGCTGGATTTTGGATGAGAGTCGACAGATTCTTACTCCAAGTGGGACCGCTTCATCTAACAGCTCCACTCCGGTCGCTGAGCGGACCAGAACCGAGTCGACAATGATGTCGAACTTTACTCCATGATAGTCAGTAGCCGATTTACTGCAGGTAAATCAACGTTCTCAATAATGTTAGCTTGTGTTTACTTCGGTTACAAAACAACCAACTGAATTTTTATTTTTCCTGCGAGGAGAAGCTGTCCTCCCACCAGGCGGGCCGGTTCTGAACGAGCCTCGGCCCAGGTGCAGTGCAGGAGGACAATGGATCATTAGCACACAGGCTGTGCTAATGATCCATTGTTAGGCTGATGGTCCTTCTTGAGCATGTGATCAGCTGGTTTTGGTTGTCAGCAGCAAAACTGGTTGATTCACTCTGAGACGGTGCTATTTAAGAGACTGAGCTGAATACAGCACCTCAGACTGAGGAAGTCTCTCGGATGAGAGACGAAACGTTTCTACATTTTTTGTTGATTTGCTTTGTTTTGTTTTTTTGAATGTCCAGAGGACCAGATTGAACTTTTTTAGAACAAACAAAAACTCACAATGTCATCAACAAGTTTCATTCAAAATAATATTTTAAGTGGTTTTACTGTGATATATACATACACAGAATGTCATAATAACTTCTGTAACTAAAATCAGTTAAATAGTTTTTTTTTACCCAGCCCTGGTGGACGATACCTGAGTCAGAATCCAAGCTAAGGAAGTAGAAGTGTTCACCAGACATGCAGGGTCTGATGGTGCTCTGATAAACACTTTGGTAACAGTTCCTATTTTAAATGTGCTATACAAATAAATCTAACTTGACTCTGGCGCTGTGCCAGATCACTGGTGTACCTGCGGATAAAAATAAATAGAGTTCACCAAGAGATTTAACAGACATTTCTCTGGATCTAACAGAGGTGCAGCTTACACTCCCAACCACACTAGATAGTCCTACTAACCTGTCAGAAGAAGTGTGGTGCCTGGCCTTGGGTCTTGGTAAAACTATGATTCAGATCCAGCAGTGGTTCTGTGTGCTGTTGAA